ATGTAAAGGTTTGTAGGCACGCATAGGGCTACATTGATCAATAGTGCGATTGTGTTGCAGATTAACAAATCGAATGGCCTTAGTGAGGGGTTTACATGTGTTGTTCTGTCCTCCGTTGTTAATGATAAATCGTTGGCCATTATAGTGCTGAACGTTAAGATATTTGAAATTTTTATACAAATTTGTTGAATACAAAACTTTATGTAATTCCAATACTCTAACAGCTCTAGTTGTTGTCAGACAAACACTTGTCAATTGTTTACATTTTATAATTTTGGTTATTTTCTTTGTCCCCATATAACCTATGATAGAGAGTGACGTTAGTTTAGTTAAATGAGTGATGACATCAAGAAATCTGTTTTCTTTGTCTTGAGCATAAAACGCCAACTCTTTGAAACATTTGTTTTTGGTGAGAATTAATGGGACATTCATTTCATTAAATGAAATTGGTGCTTTGATTTTAATCACTTTAGCCTTTTTAAATTCAAACACTAATGGCCAATAGATGTCGTTAATCTTATAATCAAATCCGATTGTATTAAATAATGTAATTTCAGTGACGTTCGGAAATATTTTGTTAAAGCCTTGTTTCAACGAAATAATGTCTAATTCGAGCTTAATTAGATACTCATATTTCGACTTTAACGCAAATGTGAAATGAGGCGATAGTTGTAATTCAGCCCAATTCGAAGTGTATACGTTACGCTTTGTATACAATATCAGTTGTTTCCGGTTATGAATTAATCGTTGCCACTGTTTTGAAACACATTCGAATTGAAATCGGCTCGTGACAGGCAGATGACTCAACAGAAGTTCACACAAATCGTCGCCATATCTGTCTAAACTGTCTCGAAGGCCTAAAATTATCATAATTAATAAAATATATGTATTTAAAATGATGCAATGTATACCTTGATTATTACACGGATTGCCATCTGTTTGAACACTATTACAATTGTGTTTTAATCTTTTAGTTAAAGCCATTCCTAGAAATAATATATAATTATTTGTTTAACAATAGTGTCTTTACAAAGAAAAAATATGAAGAGTAAGCTTAGTACCTATTAATAGGCACCTCGCCCTCCCTCATACCCCGTGATATGCATAGCTAAGCAGTGCTAATTAGATTGTTACCTATAATTAGGCAACTCTCTAAAGCACTGCAAAGCCAGAGGCATACCAATAACAATAAGGTTTATGAGAGTACTTACTTGTGACCGAACTGTTCTCAACTGAATAACTTTTGAGCTTTACAATGCTTTTTATACTCAGTGCCTGCACTACATCTACAAACTATACCAGTTTGACTACTATTAACCACGCCTTTATTTGCACTACAACTTATGTTATTAAAATTACTACCTCTAGATGCATTTGCTAGCAAATAACTAAATCTTATTAATTTAATATTTAAAGTAAACAATAATGCAATCTTAATAAACATTTATTTGTATACATATCACATGATCTTTATTTGTGTGTTTATTTACTAAGATTTAGATAAAATAAGCCTTTTCACGTGATTGTGACTCATAAGCATTCTATATTTATACTTAAATTATGCTATAGTGTGTGCTATTTGATAAATTTAATTAAAATATTTGTAAATAAATAAACATAATGTGATATGTAATATTCATTTTATTCAATTTTATTTTCAATTAATTTTACATTTGTTTTGTATTAATAGTATAGACACGTCTAACTAATTCGTGTTTTGAATTAATTTCATAAGAAGAGAGAAATACAGATAAATTGGGGGTTGCATAATTTGCCTTAAGACAAAGCGTATTACTTATGGTAATTACAAACTTTGAATTAATGAATTGTTTTGCTTTAGTTTTAAACAACTCAATAAGTGATAGGCTTATCATATTCTCTTCAATAATTAGATATTGAACAGAAGGTTTTGAGATCAGCTCATACAAAGGTTTGCCAATGTATAAATCTTCTTCTTTCGCATCTCTGATTTCCAAATATTTGATTTTGAGATGTATTGACAAGTATAGTTGGTGTGAAATTGAATCTCCATTTACATACAAATAATAGTGCTCACGACTGTATTGGAGACTTATAGTTATATCAACCGGAAACGGGTTCTTACAATACTTTCCAGTTGTTTCTATCTCTTTAATTGTTGACAGAATGCGAGGGCGGGGTCTCTTTGAAGTGAATAATTGGGAACAATAACTGTAATAGCCAATTTGACCGGATTGGCGTGTAATTTCTGGCAATATTTGAATTAACATTTCTGGTGAAATATAGTTAAACTCAAGCGTTTTAACATTTGAATTGTTAATCAAATCAGCCATTACATGAATACTAATTGCGTTTCCAAATGCTACGGCTTTCAAAACGGGAAATAATGAGACTCTTTTGGCCGTTTCATCTGATAATTCATTCGGAATTTCTAGACTTTCACTTTTCACCAGTGTTTGAAAAGCTCTAATTTGTTTGCCATATTTGTTTGAAAAATCGTTAATTTGAGCCAAATCATTAAAGCATTCCTGAGTGTCGTACATAATTGATGGAACCTTTTCTAAACCATATATTTCGATGAGATTGAATTGGTTTAGACCGAAAATATTTCCAAACGCAAGATTACGTCTACTGTGCTTTATTACTACACGTGTGAGATTTGGAAATATTTCAGTGACTTTGCGATCAAATCTCAAACTAAAGTCGAATTCGAGAATTTTAATTGGTTTGAAATGCTGTTCGATTCTCTCAGTGAAATAATTTGAAATCACACGCGTTGACCTGTCGAATTCGGGTCTTAAAAGCGAATCAATGTTTGAGTCCATAATACGGCGCCGCTCGGGTTTAATCGAAAGAAAGCGAGTTTGCGCACAAATTTGCTTCCCCCAATATTTCGAAACGCCCGTCAAATCGAATTTCTCTTTTACCGTTAGATAGCCCATAATGAGGTGAAACATATCATCGCCAAATCTGTCGAAACTCTCTTTCGGCTTGCCCCACAAAGTGTAAACCGGTTTACCTAATGTAAAAATAAAATAATATAATATAATTCAAAACAAATATTATACATACATATTGGGCTCCTCCAGTTTTCATTGAGTTTCTTTTGCATTAAACCACACATTTCATCACCAAATTTGTCGAAACTCTCGTCGTCACCGCTACTCATAACTCGCAATCTTTTGTTAGACATTATATTGAATTAGTTTTCAAGTGATTATCCAATTCAAAGATTTAATGATTTGAAAGTAAACAATTGAATTGTCGGCCAATGAGCTTTATTAATGAAATGGAATCAATAAATTAATTGAATTTTATTAATTATGATGCAATAAATGGTTTTTTTAATATGTGTTAATGTATGTGCTTATTTTTATTTTATATTTGTGTGTGTATGTATGCATGTGTACCTCTACCTTTGACAGTGCAATGATTGTTAATTATTGATAGTTAACTCTCAAATACATTGTCAATAAGGTACACGAGGGGTATGAGAGGATTACGCTTAGTACCTATTCCTTAGGCACCTCGCCCTCCCTCATACTCCGTGATATGCATAGCTAAGCAGTGCTAATTAGATTGTTACCTATAATTAGGCAACTCTCTAAAGCACTGCTAAGCCAGAGGCATACCAATAGCATTAGGGTTTATAGTGTTGTCAGTGATTGTTACCTATAATTAGGCAACTCTCACCGACGCCACTATACCCTAATGCTATAGAGAGCAAACTAGTGTATAGAAAAAGAGAGTACTTACATGTGAGCGAACTGTTCGCAAGAGAACGAGCTCTGTGCTGTGCAGCCCTTTATATACCCAGTGCTAGCACTACCTCTACATACTCTACCTGTTTAACCACTATAAGCTCCGCCCCTACCTTATACCTCTACCTGTACTATAGCAACCGTTACTATGGCAACCGAAACTACCACTACATGCACTACACCTATCTGCCCTACCTCTACCTACACTACCACTACAACTACATTGACCTGATTTGCCAGCACTACCTCTACATTAACTTTTAATAATTATACATTTAAGTTAATTATTAATTACATTTATTAATATTATAATGTAGATGCAGAATATACTTACCTGATATTTAATTATGACGTAATACTTTTAATAAATTGTAATTAATAAATTATAATTTAAAGCACTACCTCTACATTGGCGGCCATTTTGTTTTAGTAATGTGGTCTACCTGTACATAGGTAGCCATTTTGTTTTAGTCACGTGGTCTACCTGTACATAGGTGGCCATTTTGTTTTAGTCACGTGGTTTACCTGTACATAGGCGGCCATTTTGTTTTGGTCACGTGGTCTCTGGCGGCCATTTTGTTTTGGTCACGTGGTTTGCCAACGGCCATTTTGTTTGTTTACGATTACGTAATACCCGTCTATTGCGCAATAATTGGTCATATCTTGTTAGTGCTCGCTTATTTCCGATGAGGCAATGCATGTAGAAGTATTTTTTGATGACGCAATGCATGTACGGGTTTTTCCCATGACGCAATGGGCCTCACAGCAATTACGTCCTTATATAATGGCTATATCTTATGATAACTAATTAACCGACGTACTAACTGGAAACCCGTCGTTAAATCGTCATATCTACTTTAAATAATTATAACAAAAGTTAATAAGTTTTTCTATTGTTTCTATTATTTAGTTAGAGTCGTTAATTGGATATTTAGTGACTGATCACGTGGGCTTTACTTGTTGGAAATTGTTCAGGATTAATTATTTTAAATGTTACGAGGTACAAAATTAATATTACGCTATATTTGTATTTATAACTAATTATTCCTAATCATTGTTTATTTAATTTTAGATAATTAGCATATTTACGATGTTATTTTTGAAATTGTTGGAGATATAAGTTTGCATTTTGTTATATTTTATCTTAATAAAAGTACGAACAATTGTAAATTGTTCAACTTAATATTATATAATAATCTTAAAATTGTAAATTATTTAGCTATTTTTAATAATCTTTCTTTTAAAATAAAAGTAATTTAAATGTCAAGTTTATGAACAATGCACGTTTTAATATTGTAAATTATATACAATAGCCAGGTTATTGTGAAATAATCCCATATTTCTTAACAATAATTTTAAAGGCTATGATTTGTAAAGTGTTTAAAATAACATATAATATTTTAAACCAAAATTACGTTTTAATATTATGGTTTAAAAATCTTTAATTATGCAAATAATTTATTAACCATGATCCGTATAATTATGCAACTTAACTGCACTAATGTTGATATCTTTCAATCGTGAAAAACATTACATAATTTGCTCGAATATTATCTAAAGTATTTTGAAAGTACAAAAATAATCGTTTAATCTCAAGTGCCTGACAAGACTAACTTGTATATAAATATGACAGCAGCATTATTCTACTTTATTCATTAATTTTAACAACATTACAATAATTACTTTGACACAAGTGGTATAAAATGTGTAAAATTGTACAAGTTGTATTATGTGTGGCAGTACTGTCCACCTCATGTTTAGCTTACGGTATGTATAAAGGCATTTCAATACAGTTTTATTTTTAATATAGTTTAATTATAATTTTTAGATTAATAGAGACTATAATTTTTAATAATGTTTATTTTATAAATTACATTTATATAGACTTAAATGCCTTAAACAAGCGCATCGAAATTGATCAAAGTAAGATTATTATTTATTTATTTAAATTGATTTATTATCTTATGAACAAAGCATCGTATTTTAACTATAGTAACTATTTTAGCGGTTAATAGCATTAGCCTAAGAGTTGGTATGTCAACCGATCATACCATTAGGGTCATTTTAGCAAACTTTTATTTTAACTATTGAGTTAATATAAATAACTATTTGAGTGGTAACTAACTATAACAACTATTAATCAACTATTTGACCAATATTTGTAAGAATGGTTAAATTTTTACTAAGATTTGATAAAATATTTACCAAAATTTTTAAATAATTGTAAAGAATTAAAATAAAATTTGTATAAATTGACTATAAATAATATAAATCGAAAATAAGTATTTTAATTGACCAATATTCTATTATACTATTGTCATCTCTAGAGTCGAGCTCTATATACCACATATTTGGTAAAAATATTAAGATAGTTTTACGTAATTAAAACTAAATTTTAGACTCAATAGACTTAAATTTTATAAATAATACTGTTATTAATGCATAATAGATCATTGCACAACGATTATTGAAAATTTTTACTACAAATATCAAGATTTTATCAAAAATAAACAACTATTTAAGCAACTATTTGACCCTTTTTAGTAACTATTATAGTGACTATTTGACTATAATAAAAAAAACTATTTTAAGATGCTTTGCTTATGAATTACTGACTTAATATTACAAAATCACCTTAACATAACAAAAACAAAACAAAACTAACTCTAATATAACCATAAACAGAGGTACAGGACGTGGTGTGCCGTACGAGCGGTGGGACAGAGAAATGCTATTACATAATAGACAAAGTGGTCAATGAAGTGGAGGCCAAGACCTACTGCTCATCACTAGACTCTACGGCCCGTCTATTGTCCATACACTCGGTAGAAGAGGCGATATTTGTAACCGGTCTGCTAAAG